AACCATCGCTGAGACAATAGATGATATGTTTTGATAGCTGCATCTATATCATCCTTGTGGATCCCAACAGAAACCCTCATCAGCATGTGCTGAGGCCGTTCAACAACCTTACCTCTTATCTTTAAGAGGTAAGATCTATCGAGAGTTTTAAAACCAAAGTAATCATAATCAAAGTCTCTGTCATATATGATCTCACTATCAAGACGAGCCGAATTCTGAAAGGAAAAATGTAAAAAAATAATTAAAAAAAAAAATATACACACACACACACATATAGCAAAAACTGTTCAAATGAAAATCCAATGAATAAACATTGGGATTTCAACTTGAGAACTTCTCAATAAATTGAGTTCATCGTCAGTTTATTCTGTTTCATTTGTTTCACCTTTTCAGGCAATTCAAAAATTCTATAATAATTTCACGAGACTGCATTGAAACTTTGGTTTCAATTCAAGACCTTCAATATAATGCAGTCATGCAGTAGAAGATGAATTTTAAGCCTAATATCCACTTATAGTGCAAATACCTTCATTATTATTTCATAAACATCATCTGCAATCAAAGGAGCATTTAGTCCAGAATGCTCACTCACGTGGTTGTACATGTCTTTAACCCTGCAAAAATAACACAAATCAAGACCATCTCACCATTGTGACCATTGACCCACAATCCAGATATAGGCACATATTAAAGCGAAAATATGTGCTGGGAATGTGTTAGTATGTTTTTGTAACAGTGTAGAGCACTTACGTCTCAGAAAATGACTTCTTTGTGTTCTTGTGCAAATTTGAAACGGCAATCCTTGCTGCCAACTGCACAATTTTCATCAAATGAATCCCACCATTTCTCAACACTAATCTCAAATTAATCAAGACAATTAATTTTGTTGGTTTTACATCGTTGTTGAGACAATTACAGTCAATAAATCAAAATCAAAAATTCCGAAAAACGGGGAATTTCTGTATAAGCACAACGAAGTACAAATAAAAATCCAACAGGCAAAAATACAAATTCAAAAGAAACACAGCAACATAATATGAAGTTAAACAAGTGAACTCATCAAATCCAACAGAAATTTAAAAGACCCAGAACTCAGAATCCTAAATTAGTAACACAGAAAGGGTTTAACAATGAAATGATGAACTCACAGAAGCATAGTCGGGGTGGTTGGCTGTCATGGCGGCGGAAGTCTCAGCAGCCAACTCATCAAGCTGACTAGTGGTAACGCCCTTGTAGACCCCCACACAGACCTTCTGTGCCACGAGAACTGGGTCACAGTGCTCGCTGCTCAGCCCGTAACTCAGCTTCTTCAGCCGTGCCGTTATCTTGTCAAAATGCACCGCTTCATGCCTCTCGTCCCTTTTCACCACATACATTGTCTCTGGCTATTTCAAAATTCTTCTCGGTGAGGAATTTCGTCGAACAGATTAAAAGATACTATTATTCCAATGAAGAACTCTATAATCTGCACTACGCATGGTTGTATATATAATTATAATTATAATTTTGATTAGAGATTTTGGGTTTCCCTCTAAATGAGTTTCTGAAATTTGAAGTTTCCCCGCCAGATTTGAGATGGGTTAGGTGGCCTAGAATTAGGGGAAAGTAGAGCAGGAAGTGAGGTCCACGCGAGTACTTTTGTTTTTTTTGAAAGAATCGAATTCAGGCCATGTTTGAACTAAATCTTATC